CCTCTGGCTGTTGCCAGCGCTGGCAGGTGGTTGCTGGAGGTGGAGGTGCCAGGTGGGCTACGAGGGGCCGGACGCATGGCAGGACTGTGCCGTGGCAACCCTGCTCGCATGAGCTCTGTGAAACGTATTTTCAGGGCTGGAGCATTTCACACCCCTCATTGTAGGCTTAGCCAACACCTCAGTGCAGATGCAGGTCTTTGGTCCCAAAATGCATCTTCGTCCAGTTGCTTTTTTAAGCCTCGTCGCTAATTTGCAACTTTCTTCCTTTTGCAGTCGGGTGGATTCAGGCAGACCCCAGGAATCAGGTAATCTCGGCCAGGACTGGGGAGCAATGTCGCAGCAACTCCTCTACCGTGCTCTGGTGTCTGCAAAATGGCTTTCAGAAGCCATCAAGTCCCAGCAAGCTGGCCTGGCCTTGAGAATCGTGGATGCATCCTGGTATTTGCCAAAGATGAAGCGTGACCCAAAGAGGGAATTTGAGGAGCGCCATATCCCTGGTGCAGTTTTCTTCGACATTGATCAGTGCAGTGACCGTACTTCACCTTATGATCACATGCTGCCCAAGGCTGATGACTTTGCAGAGTATGTGGGGAAGCTCGGTGTGGGGAATGATTCCCATGTTGTGGTGTATGATGGCAGCGACCAAGGTCTCTTTTCAGCACCCCGAGTGTGGTGGATGTTCCGGGCCTTTGGACATGAAGCCGTCTCCCTTCTGGATGGTGGCCTGAAGAACTGGCAGCGAGAGGGGAATGCAGTGAGCTCTGGGAAAAGCCAGGCAGCTCACTCCGAGTTCCATGCCTCCCTGGACAAGTCCCTGGTGAAAACGTATGAGGATGTCTTAGATAACTTGGATTCCCACCGCTTCCAACTAGTGGATGCACGTGCTGCAGGACGGTTCCGGGGAGTAGAGCCAGAGCCCCGAGATGGTAATGTGCCTCCTGAGACACTGGCATAATAAAAAAGGGCTTCATTTAAGGTGCCCATCAGTTTGTCTGCTGTAGAGGTAATGAAGGGAAATATGGTTGTCCTTTATGGGATGGGACTTGAGGCAGCATATCTACCTGTCCTCCTTTCCTTTTGACTAGCAAGTGCTGCTCTTTGAAAATTCAGGAGTGGGGAAACTGTGTATTTTATTTTCTCATGAGAGGCCGAGGAATGTAGCTTTCTTACACCTCAAAGATATTCATTGGCCTCTTAAGGTACTGGTGCTACTCTTCCCCTCAGAAAGGCCTGTGGAGGTGCTTCAGTCAGTGCCTCATCAGAGTGGGCTGCTCTGATGTGGGGAAGATGTGAAGGGAACAGAACTTGACAGGATTGTGTCCATGGGGTAACCTGAAGTTTAGAGCCATCCTTCCCAAGTAATCAGTAAGCTGGTAAAGCTAAGTTTAACAAAAATAAAAGTATTTGTTTTAACAAAATATACTAAACAATAAATATTCCTCCCAGTGAAACAGAACGGGTTTTGCAATGGATTTCTCCCAGACAGTAGAGTTTAATTCCTATCTGTATTGCTTTTCCTCCAGGAATTGAACCTGGTCATGTCCCTGGGTCGACAAACATCCCCTTCACCGATTTTCTCACAGAGTCTGGCTTAGAGAAGACCCCTGAGCAGATCCGCAGTCTGTTCCAGGAGAAGAAGGTGGACCTTTTAAAGCCGGTGGTAGCCACGTGTGGCTCTGGGGTCACTGCCTGCCACGTGGCTCTGGGGGCATACCTCTGTGGCAAACCAGACGTCGCTGTGTACGATGGGGCCTGGGTGGAATGGTACATGCGGGCACAGCCTGAAAATATTATTTCTGAGGGAAAGGGGAAGACAGTGTAATAAGCTGCTTTGTCTCCCAGTTGTGCAGCTAATTTGCCTTGAAACAAGATTTGAAAAAGATCATAGAATCATAGAATGGTTTGGATTGGAAGGGACCTTAAAGATCATCTAGTTCCAGTCCCCCTGCCATCAGCAGGGACACCTTCCACTAGACCAGGTTGCTCAAAGCCTCATCCAGCCTGGCCTTAAACACTTCCAGGGAAGGGGCATCCACAGCTTCTCTGGGCAACCTGTGCCAGTGTCTGACCACCCTCACAGTGAAAAACTTCTTCCTAATATCTAATCTAAACCTACCCTCTTTCAGTTTTAAGATGGGTTTAGTTTTAAGATGGGTTTAGCATTCCTGGTTAAGAGTCTTGATGTGAAGATGTTGGGTAACAAGTACGGGCAACATGGTGCTTTGGCACTTTCTCCTTACCCTGCTGCTGCTGCTTAGGAGCATAAAGATGATCTGGGCAGCCAGCTCTAGGTGACCCTGCTTGAGCAGATGGGGTGAACCAGATGTCCTCCCAAGGTCACTTCCAACCTCAGCCGTTCTGTGATTCTATAACCTTTGTGCCATATCAGATGGAAGGGAGAAAGTGCTGGTGGCAGCATGGGGAAGTAATTGAGTCAAGACAAGCTCATGACTCAGGACATTCCACCATGTTCATTCACAGGGTGGTCATAGTTGTGTAACTGTGCCTCACGATCCTGCTCTGTGCCTCTGTCCTAGAAGCCGTCCATGCACTTTATGTGTGCACTGTTTTGGGTGCAAAACTTTGGGGAAAGACATAGTTGTTAGACGAGCAAATACGGCTTCCAGGTTGGCAGTTAGGTTAGAAACTTGGTTTGAATGTCTTCTTGCATTTGGACTCTAAACTGCAATGTGTATTTAGCCAGTTTTGTACCACTCTGGTCCAAAATCCCCCTTGGGAAAAAGAAAAGATTCTGGGATTAAAAAAGGATAAATAAACATGTGTTTCAAGGTTTTTATGCTGAATGGAACTTGTGTGAGTGTTGCTTGGGTGACTCCTGTTCAGGAACTCCATTTTTATGGGATCACTTTGTTTTGATGATTCAGATGAGATGTTTCCTTCTCTCCGTGAGTAGAACTACATCTCTTGCCCTCAACAAGCTCTCTTTGTCCCAGAAAAGGCAGTGGCATACCTCTCTCTTGGATTTTTCGCCATCTTCCTCCTTTGAGTCCTGGTCCTTTTGCTTTTTGGCTTAAAACTCCATGTTAGTCAGTCACAGCTCTGTTCAAAAACTGAATGTCAGCTTACATGGTGAAAATTTAACTGCTTGGTTGCTTCTAGTCTTTCCATGAGACTTAACCATGTAACCTTAAAAAACTTAGGGCAACTGAGACCTACAGAAGAATTGCCCACAATGGCACCTGTTTTTCACCAAGACTGTTGTCTTATATCTGAGAATTGAAATCCCCCTGTGTATACATGACAATGTTCAAGAATTTGTTCTCTTTAGGATTTTTTCCCCTTAAAAAAAAAAAAGCATAAGCAGCCTGCACTTTACCCACTGGTAACTCAGAAAGTTAATGAGACAGGTTCTTCTCTTGGGATTGCAGCAACAGATACCTGTGGACATCTGAGGATGATGGGGTCGTCCTTTCTAGGGGATGCTATGGATGCTTATGGTCACAGATTTGCAGGATCCCCTCCTAGTCACTGAGTACAAGGGCTTGATCCTTTCCTGTTGGAGTGTTTATTCTTCGCGTTTCCTTTGGCCTCTCTTGGCTGCAGCCCTGGCTTCTTCCTGGGCTTGGCTTGCATGCACACAAGCTCTATTTCTGCTCACCTCCTGTGGAGCTAGAGTTTCACCGTCCAGATGATTTCTTTCTCTGTCCTCCCCACCCACACGTACAGCCTGACCCTTCTTTCCACATGTTTCCACGGCCTGAAAGCATTCAGTTTCCCTGCTTACATCCAGTCTAACAACGTAGCTCTTCAAGGAGGTGGGGTTGGTGTTAGAGCAAGTGCTCAGTATGCAGAGTGTGCAGGGGTCTGAAATGAGTGACCCTTTAGTATGCAGTGCAAGATGCAGATCTGCATAAAATAATAAACCTTTATATTTGCCAGCTTCCATTTTGTTCTTTGGGCTTAGACTTCCCAAAAGGGCTTCCTTTGCAGGTTACAGCATGCCCTGCAAATTGTTAAGACTTTCAGCTCTGGATCTAATTGACTGTTTAATTAATTCCTTTTCCTTCCTGCTACAGAAGGGTTTTCTACTCCCATGCCTTATGAATTTTCCCACCCAGGTAATCACTGTGTTTTTAAAGGCTGGTAGCAACAGCTACACTTTATCCCTAGTGGAGTGATTTTCTAGCAACTGTTTCCTGCAGGGGAAAGGGAAGGACTAGTCAGCATGCCATGTAGGACATCTGATTACAGTCTGTAGCTGAGAGCACTTAAAACCAAGCTTTTTAAGCAGAAGTATGGTGTTGACATGAAAACAAAAGGATAAGCACTGGCTGGGGACAGCAAGTGGTGCTGTGCTCTCTGCGGAGGGGCCTCCCAGTCTGAGCAACATGAGTGCTGCTTTTTAAGACAATAAGTTAGATACTTGTACAAACAGTATTGTCTAGTATGGTGTCTTATAGCAAGATCTGGCTTGTGACATCTTTTCAGTTCAGGATTTCTAGCTGCTCCCATCAGCCCAGCTAAGAGGCTTTCATGTGGTGGATTGTTAAGGTTTAACAACCTGGGTGTGGTTGGGAGGTGAGGTTGATTTTGTGAATACATGTCCAGGTCCCTGCGTAAAGACAAACAGAGTTGCTATGCCAACTCTTTTTCTCCAGGAAAATTTAGTTATTAGAGAAAACTGCCATATTCTGTCAGACTTTGTTAATAATTTCCAATGGATGCAGGGGGCTGGCTTTTGCTATTGTCCTTCCAGAACGTTTGGCAATCCAGCTTAAGCACTGTGTTGTTTTTCTTTTTCCCACTTACCCCAGCAGTCCAGGAGGTCAGTGGGAATCTCTTTGCTTCCTCTTGAGACTGAGCTGCTTTTCTCTGTCCTGTGTGTCACGAGAGGAGGTGTCTGGTGCAACCCAGCCATCCACCTGGAGATTGCAAGCTAAGTGAAAGATTTCCCTCTCCCCTTGCTCTGCATTTTGACTGTGTGGTTTGATGACATCTAGCAGGGCCCTCCCCACTCAGTGGTATATGTGCCAAGGTGGGCAGTACTCAACTGTCTTTCTCCTGCCCAGGTTTTGGACCACAAAATCTCAGCGGTTCTCCAGTTTCCCATTGTTTAGCAAATCTTTTACCAGAGGCTTAGCTTCGCCTTGATTTCCCCATGACAAGATACTTTGTCTTTCTGGGGTATGCCTTGTTATATCACATATCAAAATCTGTTCAAGAGTTGTCTTCCGATAGTCTCCCTCCTTTTAGTTGAGATCTATTCTCACTCTTCAGGCAAAGCACTGGGAACATTGTGGAGACTGAGACAATGTTTTCAAAGCTTGGAGACTGCAAAAACCTATTTTGAGCTATAACAGATGCTACTGGACATATGGAACAGCTGAGGGGGCTTGCAACAGGACTATAAATATTCTGCAGATCTTTATGTCCCTGCCTCAGTGGGTGGGTTTCCTATGGGAACTGGAAACTGGGAAGGAGAGAAGTGGGTATGAATGCAAATCACTAATATTCATGACTCTCCTGTAAAAAATTTGCCACAGGGAAAGCAGAATAGTATATCTTTGGTGGGACAGTGCTCATGGTGTCCAAAAAGTAGCCTAAAAACAGCCCTGATGTAGAAACAGGATCTCATTGAACCTGGCTAACTTGCGACTGGAGCTTTACAGCTCTCTGTATAAATTTGAGAATCGTAGGCCAGCATGTAATAAACTGTTGGTTTATTGGTGTATTTTACTATCTGCTGTACTTTTGTCCCGAAGCAGTTTTGCGCTCCATGAAAAGAGTCTGGTCAATGGTTCTCCAAAAGTAATGCCACAGTCCCTTGTTCCTCACATGTCTTTGTCCCCTGCCTTCCTCTTCCTTCCCTACTGCTGCCTAGCAGTCAGGTTGAACTAGTTCACACTTCACTTCCCAGTGAACCTTTTGTTCCCCTGCCAGCTTTCCCAAATGCCAGAGCAGCCCTTCTGCCAGCACCCTAATGACCACTGCATGAGCAATAGCAGTTGCTATTACCTGCGGGGGCTTTTCCTCCCATCTCTCCTGGTCCCAGCTCACAACCGGGTGCTATGTGACTGTTCTCCTCCCAGCACTCTTCCAGCAGAGGTGCAGAGTGATGCACATACACACACACTTTACAGGCTATTTTGAAGGCAGGTATATTGCTCACAGACCACACAAAGCACAAGGAGCTGGAGAAAGATTAGCTCACCTGTATGCCATAGGGCCTTTCTCTTCCTGCTCCAATATGCCTGCCTCAGCCGGCAGTCAAGCTGGGCTCCATTGGCTACAAATGAACTGTTTTCTTCCTACCCCAAAGTCCAGTGTAGGGAGTTTTTGCCCAGTTCACTGTTGGCTTAATGGCAACACGTCAGAGCATTACTTGTCCTCCCTTCCCCTCTTCCTATAGAGAAGAGAGAGACACTGTTTCATTTCTGGTACTTCATGCCACAGTGTGTTTATTAACTAAATGATTGCCGAGGTTCAATGCCAGATGTGTTTTCCCAGCCTGCCAGAATGGTGACACTGTGCCAACCCACAGTGATCCCTGCTCCCACTGCCACTCTACAATGCAACAATTCCCGAAGAGCAGCTCCACAATGTCAGGATGCATCGTGTGTCATGTACCCAGCTGACTTGTCAGGCTGCAATGTATGTACGGAGCGCTGCAGTGTGTGTAGCTTTCTGCAGGTCTGCTGGCTGCTGGACAAAGAAACTCT